GTTTTTGCCTAACCAGTCTCATTACGTTTTGAGTGAAATAAAATTATGAATTATGAATTACACCAATGTCATCTATCGATAAAAACATCGATTCGATTAATTAACAGCAGCTTTTCGCACTGTGACAGTGCCGATAGAAAACAGCAACTTTTTGGCACTGCGGCAGTGCCGACAGAAAACGGCAGCTTTTTGGCACTGCGGCAGTGCCGATAGAAAACAGCAGCTTCTTTTGGCACTGCGGCAGTGCCGATAGCCACTACCGTTTGTGAGACATGCAAGTATTCCTGGCCCTGTTTTGATTGGTCACTTAAGTTTGATTGACACTCCAAATATGCACGTAATGTGTACTGTGTACTATGTACATTATTTGTGTGGGGAGGGTGAGGGACGTTTATGATTTATTTAAACTCTAAATTGTATTTTCTTTAGTTAGGCCTAAGTTCTTTCACTTGCTTAGCTTTGAGTTGTTGTTTTCTTCTTTGTTCATTAGTTTAAGTTTGACTACACCACTTTCTTGTGTGCCGCCACTGTTGTAAAAGTGTAATGTAAAATAAATATTATTATTATTATTATTATTATTATTATTATTATTATTATTATTATTATTATTATTATTATTATTATTATCAGTATTATTATTATTACTGTAGGTCTATTGATTGAGTATAGCTAGATCGATAACCTTTATTATGATGCAAAACGTACCTTTGATAGTGCTGGTAATATCAGAATGATTCCCACAATAGACTTCACTTGAAGACGTTTTTCCATGACAGCTGTTATCTAAAATGAACAAAATATGTTATTGTATCAATATATGAATTTGAGCTTTTCGTGCCATTATTACGTGAACCATTCGACGTTACTCTTTACCATACTCAAACCACAGAGCTACATGTTATCTTATTATACATTATTATTATATTTGTTCATGCTCAAAATACAAACGGTACTATTACTACACACAGGGGGATTCAAGGGCGGTGCGAGGGGGAACCGTTATTGCCCCTAACCTTAAGAACATTTTAAATCATTAAAGAAAAGAAAAGTAAGAAAAATATTCAAATAAGTCAGAGAGTTCTATTTCTGAATATCTAGACGTGCTACAACCTTAAAGTCTAAGTCCTAGCCACACTGTTGGACAGGATTTGCCCGACGGGGTGGGGAGGTCCCCCAGTCCCCCCGCCGGCGCCACGTCCCCTGCTGTTGGACTGATGAGGTTTGGACGCCCCTATTTCGAATTCATGATCCGCCGCGGTTACAAGTTGTAGTTTTCCTATTATACTGCAGTATGTTGTTATAATTATAATTGATTTTCTGTGTACAATGTACATGTACATATAATGTTCGTAGACCTTATACTAACATACGATACACTATGCTATTCTATAATATTATTAGAAGTGGAAAATACTATAGACCTCCCTGGGCCTGAACGATAAATTTATGTTAGGCCTGTACTATGTTACCCTACGATACACTTTTGTGTAGTAGACCTAAACCATTGATTAGTAAGTCAATTTGGCTTACAGTACACAGTATCACAGTACACGTTGCTAGACACTTATACTTACTACATTTACTATAAGTAATACAATATACTAAAACAATATAATTCTTCCATTCTTATACCCGTAGGCATACTTTTAATGGTTGGTAATGCGATAGGCCTCACATCCATGACAGATACTGCATCATATCTAGACCGGTTTATATAATCTAGTAGAAATTTAGCTCTGGATACTTTATACATTATCACTGCCAATGAAAGGAGAACTAACGCCAGTACGCTAATTATATTCACTAATTTCAAATTATTGATTGCTATATATTAACCTTCAACAGGAAATAATATTTAAATTTTCAAGTAAAGCTACTCGTAACGGTAGGTCTATAATTAAAGTATTTTAGCATGGAGGAAAGGAGCGGTATTACTGTAGTTAACTGAAATTTCGACAGATGAATTGGACGCGTCATACTTTCCTGTTATGGAAACTCGGCTTAAATTGGACCTGTTACTAAACTGTATCGACGAATTTAGCCATTGAGGATAACACATTTAATGTATATATACCTTATATTAAAGTAAATAATGGCACAGTTAAAAACGGCAGAACTTTTCTCATGTAGGCCCCAGGCCTAGTAGGCACGTCAGCTGATCGTTATTATTACGCTATTTCGCTATTTAGTTGCTCTGCGTATTAGCCATAAAATTACTAATCCCTATAAACCATCGATTATTTTTTAATACTTAGTTATCGTAAATAAACAAACTAATTGCATAAGCCTATCGGAGACTCAACAGGCCGAATACTCGATATTTTTCGAATGAGTCTAGCATTTGTCACTGTAAGTTTAAAAGTAAAATGTTACTTACGTTTACCTAATCTTAGATATCCAAAAGCATTAAAAATGATCGTCAACTAACAAACCTCTTCTACAACGATACGACCAAAGGCTGACACGCCTCGGAACTTTACAATGGTGCAAACAATTTGTATTGAAAGCATTTAATGAAGTGTAAACTGGTAACCAGTACTGAGTGTACATGGGAACGTGATTCAGCAATAATAGACAAAACAAGGCTAAAAATGAAGTTCTCTTTATGTTTGTCCATTATTATAAAATCCTACGCTTCATTTACTAACAAACATATTGTAAATTCCACCTATACATATTGTTAATGCTATATATAATAAATTACGTTGTCTACTCCCTAACTTTAAAGCCAGGCTCCAGAGGAAAAATAAATTTAATATGTTGTACAACTGGTTTTTCGAAAACACAAAAAGCATATTTAACGAAAAGCTCGGGAACGGTTAATAATATACACATTTTTGAATATTTACAAAACTGAGAGAAAAAAGATCGTAACCACACTTTTTTCACATTTTCCTACCAATTTTAAAATATTAAGAAATCTCTATCTCAATAACC